TTGTCTTTTGCCGCCACATCGCCATCGTCGTTGTCGCCCCCCGCCGCTCGCCGCACTCTCTCGCACCACTCGATTCCGAAGCGAGTTGTTCGCCGGCTTAGCTGCTTCGCAGATTCTCCGCAAGTGGCGGCGAGAGTGTGGGATGTGCACGCGGACGGCACAGCGCGGTGCTGCGTGTGACGCAGGGTCGCGACGTGACACGGAGAAGCACGAGCAATCGGATACAGATGGAAATTGGCGCTGAGCTGAACGAAAGGGTGGACCCAGCCCGTACCATTGCAAAGATTAATTAGTGTCGAGGGCGCACTCCGCAGCGATGCCGACACGTCACCACACGTCCTTTCACACGCGGAATCGAAGTTTGTGACATGAACCGAACCACAGCCTTGGAAGCTTTTCATTGGATCTCTCTGCTACAATTGCATTTGCGTAAACCTCGTATCATCCTCCGGTGCAGGGACCTGATTGCGTCGGAAAATAACACAAGCAATGAAACCGTCCTGAAGTTGGGAGCACGATCCTCACTGTAAGGTCGAACCGTTATCCAATAATTCAGCTCCACGAATGCGCACATGCAAAGCTTTGTGTTTGAACGAATCAGCAAGCAAAATAAATTCCTCCTCGAAAGTACCGACTCCACGAATTCCTCCATCACCCATTTCCTTCCCCGCCTGCCCACAGTGAAGAGACGAACAAATCCCCCTCTCCTTCCCGTCAGTTCGCACACACTCCCAGTCTTCCACCAATCCCATCCCATTCATGGCCGCCTCTGTAGCCGCCACAGCATCTGCTGCCCCCACCCCCGCCCTAGTCACAGCCGCGCTAGCCGCCTTTCGACGTCACACACACGCACACGCCTCGCCGCGCCGTCCCTTCTCCTCATTCCCTTCTCCTTCCGCTGCTGCCACGGCCACCGCGTCCCGTTCCGCCTGCGCACCAGCCGCGCTCGCCGCAGTCCCGCTCGCGCTCTCCCGCGCCTCCGCCACCAGCGCTGCGTACCCATCCGCCACACCCGCGTCGCTCCGCGCATTCCGCACCCCGTCCCTGATCAGCGCGCCGCGAGGTTCCGCCCGTCGCGCCGCAGTCGTCGCCATGTCGTCATCGGCCGCTGACGCGAGTGGCGTCTCGCCCACTGCCGGCGGCGGCGGAGCGGAGGCTCCGCCGGAGGGGTATCGCGCGAACGTGGGGGTGTGCGTGGTGAACGCGGCGAACGAGGTGTTCGTGGCGTCGCGACTGGACATGCCTGGCGCGTGGCAAATGCCGCAGGTGCGCTCCACTCCACTCCACTGCCCCGCACGCGCACGTCGTGTTCTCACGCCTGGTGGTACTCACGGCGTCACTCACGGCGTCAATCCCAGCGTCACTTACGGCGTCACTTACGGCGTCCGTTACGGGGTCACCTAGGACGCAGGCTGGCCCGAGAGTGTGTGTGCAGCTTGCCGCCCGTCTTAGGTGTTACGTAGCAGGCTAGCAACCAGTCGCCTTTCACAATCCCTCCAAGTTAACCAGCCAGGGTCAGCAAGCTGATTCCCGCTGCTGCTTAGTATACTCCCTCCAGATGCGCAATGGCCTCTTTTGCGCGCATGGTTCCCCTTCAACACCCTCTTCTCCGCCGCCTCTCCCCTTTCCCCTTACTCTTCCCACCCCCTCTTCCCCCACCCCGCTTTTGCCGTCCCCCCTTCCCCCCCTCCCGCTCCCGCCTTCTTTCCGCGCGCGTACGTTTGCGCAGGGCGGCATTGATGCGGGGGAGGACATCCGCAGCGCCGCCCTGCGCGAGCTGCGCGAGGAGACAGGCATCTCATCCGCTCTGCTGCTCGCGGAGGTGGAGAAGGGGAGGGGGAGGGAAGGGGGAGGGGGAGGGAAGGGGGAGGGGGAGGGAAGGGGGACGGGGGAGGGAAGGGGGAGGGGGAGGGAAAGGGGGAGAGAGGAGGGAAAGGGAAAGGAAGGGAACAGTAGTTGTGAGAGCGAGGAAGAAGGTGTGACATCTGAATGCGACTTGAACCTATTTTGTACCCATCAGTTGTTTCAACCGGTGCATTCACATGCACGTTAATTGTTGCTTTCCTCTCTGTTCCTCCCTTCCACCTTACCTGGGTTAAGCAACCTCACCACGGACGTGCTCCCATTGTTTCCTTCCCCTCCCCACCGCCTCCCTTCATTCCTCCCTTCCCCGCCACCGGCCTGTACCCACCCTAACTGCCACTCTTCCCTTTGCGCCCCTCACTCCTCCCCCTTTTCACAGACGCCTGAGTGGCTGTGCTACGACTTCCCTCCTGCTGTGCGCCAGAAGCTTGCCGTGCAGTGGGGCCGCGAGTGGAAGGGACAGGCTCAGAAATGGTGCGTGTGGCCGTGTGGGGGAAGCAAGAGAGTGTGAGAGAGTGTGAGAGAGTGGGAGAAACTGGGAGAGGGTGGGAGCGATTTGAGAGAGGGAGACAGGTGGGAGGGAGGAGGGGAGCATAGCGGTGCAGTGTGCTGTGTGTATGTGTCACTGTGTGCAGATGGTGTCATGGCTGCTGCGCCGTGCGTTAATGCACCACTGCCGTTCATTACTGCCCCCCTGTTCTGGACCACCCGTTGCATTCCACTGCATCCCATCCCATCCCATCCCACCCCACCCCATCCCATTCCATCCCACCCCACCCCACCCCACCCCATCCCATCCCATCCCATCCCATCCCATCCCATCCCATCCCATCCCATCCCATCCCATCCCATCCCATCCCATCCCATCCATCCATGCCATCCCACCCCCACCCCACCCCATCCCATCCCATCCCACCCCACCCCACCCCCCACCCCACCCCACCCCACCCCATCCCATCCCATCCCATCCCATCCCACCCCACCCCACCCCACCCCACCCCATCCCATCCCATCCCATCCCATCCCATCCCATCCCATCCCATCCCATCCCATCCCATCCCATCTCATCCCATCCCATCCATCCCATCCCATCCCATCCCATCCCATCCCATCCCATCCCATCCCATCCCATCCCATCCCATCCCATCCCATCCCACACCCCATCCCATCCCATCCCATCCCATCCCATCTCATCCCATCCCATCCCATCCCATCCCATCCCATCCCATCCCATCCCATCCCATCCCATCCCATCCCATCCCATCCCATCCCATCCCATCCCATCCCATCCCATCTCATCTCATCCCACCCGATCTCATCCCGTGCCATGCCATGTCTTGCCATTGGATCCAATCCCATGCCGTGGGCAGGTTCCTGTTCCGCTTTGTGGGGGAGGTGAGTGAGATCAATCTGGAGGGGCAGGGAGGCGAGCCGCCAGAGTTCTCCGAGTACAAGTGGCTGCCGCCTGCTGACGTGGTGGCTGCGGTGAGTCATGCGGTTGGGGGAGGAGGGAGGGAACACAGGGGCAACTATGTAGGGGTTGGGAAGGGTGGGGGGAGGCGGAATGGACGGGAAAGTGGGCAGTGAAGTGCTACGTGAATAAGGAAGAGGGAGTGTGTGCAACTGCATGTGGGCGAATGTTGGAGGGATCTGAGGGATACAAAATAATACCCGGATTTGCACTGTAAGATGAGTGAAGCGCCCTACAAAAGGGGAGGCTGGTGGTGACTGTCATGTCTCTCCTTCCCCACCACTTCCACCCTCACTATGCTTGGAAATTCCATGTGGCTGCCTTGTTCTTTACCGTATGTTTTACAGGCGGTGGAATTTAAACGACCTGTTTATGAAGCTGCCATGCGTGTATTCGATCCCATCCTAGCCTCGCAGCAATCTCCAGCTGCCGTTGATGGACCCAGCTCTTAATTTAGGAGTACATTATAGAGAACGTCCTGGAAGTTTTAATTAATTAATCTATTTGCTCCCTTGAAAGCTAGAAAGCTTGACGCCCATTTTTGCAGTATCGCGTATTCGCCCAGGAATCGTACGATTCTGAGGCTCGGTTGCGTGTCACTTCTGTCCTTTCGCTCAACATCGCCAGGCCTTTCATCCAACGTTGTCCAACAATTCCCCGAGCAGTGCTGTCTCGCACACCTCACATTTCGCTGTCGCAGAAAGCCGCCCCACTGTCGTCTAGTGCTGGAAAAATCGTGTTGCTCACAGCAGGAAGTAGGGGCCAGATGTGTGAGCTGTCACGGATTTCCTGGGCTTCAGGAGGAAACCGAGGGGACCACGCTTCAATTCAAGTGTGATTTCGAGTCTGGTGATACCCACGAGTCTATCTCCTGACCAGCCACTCTACTCCAAACTAAACAGCCCAAAAGCACTGCTGCTGCGACTACTGCCATCGGCAGCAGCGTGAGCTAGTGCAGTATCGTCCTTCGCCTCCTCGGTTTCATCTCGACGGACTTTCCCCGTCGGTGCTTGGATCCGTTTGGCGATCGAGTATTCGTTTGGCGCGCACTGTTGCTGCCGTCTTCTCTCCCCGAATTCTCTCGCGATCTCGTCGCGGGAACCGCGTCGCAGTGTCGATGTGGCCTCAACGGGGCAACCGACTCCTGCCCTCGCTCCGCCAATCGATATCTGAAACGTGGCGGAGTCATCCGCCGCCCGGTCTTCGGGAGTATCAACCATCAGCGTTGATCTCGCGAGGTCAGAGCAACGCGATCCGTCATCATAATCGGGACTTCACTCCTCGTCCGTTGTCCACCGCAGTCAATGCGTTACTCAAACGGGAACATGAGAGCGGCTACGTTAACAGTTGCGTGGGCGGAACTTACGCCGCGGACGAACCCGGGTTCCTGACTTTGAGAACCGGCAGCATCACAAGTATCGGGAGAATCGGAAGCATCGGAAGCACGGACCGTGTCTATAACCAACCAGCCGTTCTTAGTAGCGAAGATTACGGCACCAGATCGGCCCAGATCCGAAATTCCCTAGGTGCCACGTGGCTCCCAGCCGCTCTCCGCGCTGTCAGATTGCCAGATCTAGATCCCCTGATCTCGTCAGGACCGTCTAAAGTAGCAGATTCTCCCTTTCGGCCGGTTTCCACCGTCAGCTCTCACTTAGCGAATCCGCGATCGCATTCGCGGTCCTTGTGGTCCGCAGCAGTCAACGCAAGTCAAGAAGCGTCGCCGGGCGCGGGGAAGACGGGGAGCGACCAGCGGCAAGAGGCATCAGGACCCGCCGGTACCGGTGCGTCCGAGTCTGGCGGATCTGAAGCCCGCGCGGATGGCGCAGGGGGTTCTGGGGGAGCCGGGGGAGCGGGGGGAGCAGGGGGAGCAGGGGGAGCAGGCGGAGAAGCGGGAGGAGAAACTGGATCTGGGGAGCAAGCAAGCGGGGGGACGACGGAGGGCAGTGATGGGCGAGCGAAGGTGGTGTGGCCGTTGGATCGGGCTCGGCAGTTGGTGAAGCGCGTGGTGGGGTTCGTGACTTCGCGCGTGTCGTGGCTGGCGCGATCCGGTTCTTTCGAAAGGGTGAAGAAGGTGAGGAGGGAGAATACGGATGGGGGAGTGCGGATGGAAAGTGCGGATGGGGGGATGAGGGATTGCGGGTCGGCGAGTGTGACTGGGGAAATGGAGGGCGAGGGGGAGAGTGTGAGAGGGCAGAGAAGTGTACAAGGCTGAACCAAAAAAAGTGGCAAATCAGCTCTTCCGTGTACATGGATCAGACGAAGCGTCGAACCAGCCTTCGCCGTTCGCCTGCGCCCATGCGGGTTTGCAGGGCTGCTAATCCCATGGTTCCTGAAACTCCCATTCAAGCACATATCAAAACCCGTTCAAGCTAAACCCGACTAAACCCCTCCGGTACCAAACCCTTCCAATGCTAAGCCCTTTCAACGATAAACCCGACCAATGCCAAATCCGTGCAAAGCGAAATCCCCTTACTAGTAACTAAACCCGAAACCCCGTCTCTCTGGGGTGTCTCACATAGAACGGCGCTTGAAGAAGTCAAGCGCAGCTTGCAATGCATAATGGAGTGACTTTTGAGAATTCTCACAAGCGCAGCTTGCAATGCATAATGGAGTGACTTTTGAGAATTCTCACAAGCGCAGCTTGCAATGCATAATGGAGTGACTTTTGAGAATTCTCACAAGCGCAGCTTGCAATGCATAATGGAGTGACTTTTGAGAATTCTCACAAGCGCAGCTTGCAATGCATAATGGAGTGACTTTTGAGAATTCTCACAAGCGCAGCTTGCAATGCATAATGGAGTGACTTTTGAGAATTCTCACAAGCGCAGCTTGCAATGCATAATGCTTCCCCTTTTCTTCATCATCCCCATCACCCTCCCATCGTGTGTCAACACCAACACCCTCCGTTCGCCTCCCTCTCCCCACCACGCCTACCTCCTTCCCGGCACGCCCTAGTGATTCATCCCCACCCACACACCCCCAACTCCCCACCGCCCAACCATCTCTCTTCCAAAACCCCATCTCTTCGCCCCTCAACTCCCCCTCTCCCGCCCCGCTTCCCCTTCTCTTCCCCTCCTCGCCTCCCCCGTTCCCCCTTCTTCCTCCCCAAACGACCCTTTCCCCGCCCCCCTTCCGCCTCCCCCTGTGCAGGCAGTGCTGTTTGTGCGCGAGGAGCTGACCACGCCGCCCGCCAAGCGCCTGGCCGCCAAGCGCAAGGCGGAAGCAGAGGCCATGGCGGCCGCCGCCAAGGCGTTTGAGCCGTCGGATCGCGTGGATCTGACGGTGGTGAAGAGGAAGGTGCCGTGGTGGCGAGCGCGCATTGAGAGTGTGCTGAATAAGGTGCGCGGGGAGGGGGAGGAGCAGGGGGGGGAAGTAAGGGGGATAGGGGGAAGGGGAAGGGAATAGCGTGAGAGGGTGATGGGGAGATGGGAGATGGGGAGAGGGAGAAAGAGAGGGCAGAGAGGAGGGGGAGAGGAGAGGGTGTAAAGTTGTGTGTTGGCTGGTTGTGTGACTGTAAGGGACATGCTGATGCATGTTCCCATAGCACTATCCACACTCACCGTTTGATGGGCGAACAAACTGTTACGTACCATAAATGAACATGGCCGCTTCAAATGTACACCTCGTACAGCTCATTACTTTGAGTGTAATGATCTGTGGGAAATTCCATTGACCAGGTATGTGTGTGTGCAACGTCTCTCTTTACACGGGCTTGTTTCACAATATGGTGCTGCTGCTAAATATGGCATCGGTATGGCATGCTTGGGTGCATGTGCATGGTCATGGTCATTTGCATGTGTATGTGCATTTGCATCTGCATGTGCGTGTGCATGTGCGTGTGCATGTGCATGTGCATGTGCGTGTGCGTGTGTATGTGCATGTGCATGTGCGTGTGCTTGTGCGTTTGCGTGTGCGTGTGCGTATGCGTGTGCGTGTGCGTTTGCGTGTGCATGTGCGTGTGCATGTGCATGTGTGTGTGCATGTGCATGTGCATGGTCATGCTCGTGTTTGATGGCTCCCCCCATCATCAGGTGAGGGGCCACTGGGTGGTGCAGCGAGTATACGGCGTGCAGCACCACCCCATCGTCACCAAGAGCAAGGAGGTCAGCTCCCCCACTCTTACTCTCACTCTCTCTTTCACACACAACCCGTCTTCGACCCCTTCTCTCCTTCCCCCGCCTGCACCTCTCTCTCTCCACTGATCCTTTGCATCAATGAGCGGCACCCACGTATACGCAGTCATCCTTGTGCCGTTACTATCTTTTTACAATGTGACGAGGCTTTTTTTCTGGTCGACGCAAAAACCCTCCTTGTGCCTTTGCTACCCTTCATCCGGCGAGATTGCCGTCAGCTCGCACTCGCCTTGCCTCGCACCCTCTCGCGCCCTCACGCTCCGCTCTCCTCCCGCCTTTCCCTCCCCCCATGTGTATGTGTGCATGTGCGCCTGTGTGTGTGTGACCTGTGTGCATGTGCGCCTGTGTGTGTGTGACCTGTGTGCATGTGCGCCTGTGTCTGTGTGACCTGTGTGATACCTGTGTGTGTGTGCGCCTGTGTGTGTGTGGCCTGTGTGTGACCTGTGTGTGTGTGCGCCTGTGTGTGTGTGGCCTGTGTGTGTGTGACCTGTGTGTGACCTGTGTGTGTGTGACCTGTGTGTGTGTGTGCCTGTGTCTGTGTGGCCTGTGTGTGACCTGTGTGTGTGTGCGCCTGTGTCTGTGTGACCTGTGTGTGACCTGTGTGTGTGTGCGCCTGTGTGTGTGTGGCCTGTGTGTGACCTGTGTGTGTGTGCGCCTGTGTGTGTGTGGCCTGTGTGTGTGTGGCCTGTGTGTGACCTGTGTGTGTGTGCACGAGCAGGTGGTGGATGACATGAAGGACCGGTGGGAGACGAGTGACAGCCCTGTCGTGCACCGCATTCAAGAGTGAGTAAGGGCGGAGGGAGGCGGGGGGAAAGTCGAGGGTAGTTAGTGAGGGAAACGGGGGAGAGAGACTGCAGGGGGGGCTGGATGCATACAGCACTGCAGTACGCTTGGGTGACGTTTGAGTCGACTCAAAAGTCACCTTGACTGCATTAGGGGCTGGATGCATACAGCACCGCAGTACGCTTGGGTGACTTTTGAGTCGACTCAAAAGTCACCTTGACTGCATTAGGGGCTGGATGCATACAGCACCGCAGTACGCTTGGGTGACTTTTGAGTCGACTCAAAAGTCACCTTGACTGCATTAGGGGCTGGATGCATACAGCACTGCAGTACGCTTGGGTGACTTTTGAGTCGACTCAAAAGTCACCTTGACTGCATTAGGGGCTGGATGCATACAGCACTGCAGTACGCTTGGGTGACTTTTTAGTCGACTCAAAAGTCACCTTGACTGCATTAGGGGCTGGATGCATACAGCACTGCAGTACGCTTGGGTGACTTTTGAGTCGACTCAAAAGTCGCCTTGACTGCATTAGGGGCTGGATGCATACAGCACCGCAGTACGCTTGGGTGACTTTTGAGTCGACTCAAAAGTCACCTTGACTGCATTAGGGGCTGGATGCATACAGCACTGCAGTACGCTTGGGTGACTTTTGAGTCGACTCAAAAGTCACCTTGACTGCATTAGGGGCTGGATGCATACAGCACTGCAGTACGCTTGGGTGACTTTTGAGTCGACTCAAAAGTCACCTTGACTGCATTAGGGGCTGGATGCATACAGCACTGCAGTACGCTTGGGTGACTTTTGAGTCGACTCAAAAGTCACCTTGACTGCATTAGGGGCTGGATGCATACAGCACTGCAGTACGCTTGGGTGACTTTTGAGTCGGCTCAAAAGTCACCTTGACTGCATTAGGGGCTGGATGCATACAGCGCTGCTGTACGGGCGGGATGCATACAGCGCTGCTGTACGGGCGGGATGCATACAGCGCTGCAGTACGAACTTGTGTCTAGTGAGTGCAAAAATGAGAGAACAAGTGTCTAGTGAGTGCAAAAAATCAAGGACAAGTGTCTAGTGAGTGCAAATTTGAGAGAACAAGTGTCTAGTGAAGGCAAAAAATTAAGAACAAGTGTTTAGTGAGTGCAAAAAATCAAGAACAAGTGTCTAGTGAGTGCAAAATTGAGAGAACAAGTGTCTAGTGAGTGCAAAATCGAGAGGACAAGTGTCTAGTGAGTGCAAAAAATTGATCCTCCTTTTGTCCCTGTCTGCTTCTTCTCGTGAAAGGCGTTTCTAATCACCTTTCTTGATCTTTTCCTTTTCGTTCCATGCCGTGACGTGCCATGTCAATGCCATGCGGTGCCGTGCAGTTTGAACGATTCCATCTTTGGGGAGACAGCCACAGCCATGGCTGTGAAGGAAATCAGACGCAGAGACCCGTACGCTACCGTGCCCTGCCCTGCCCTGCCCTGCCCTGCCCTGCCCTGCCCTGCCCTGCCCTGCCCTGCCCTGCCCTGCCCTGCCCTGCCCTGCCCTGCCCTGCCCTGCCCTGCCCTGCCCTGCCCTGCCCTGCCCTGCCCTGCCCTGCCCTGCCCTGCCCTGCCCTGCCCTGCCCTGCCCTGCCCTGCCCTGCCCTGCCCTGCCATGCCATGCTCACGCATGCCCGTACCATGCATTATACTTGCAATGGAGATGCCGTGCCATGCCATGCTGAATGGTTCCATGCCCATAACATAGCATGCCAGGGTTATCCTGCATTCACTCCCTCTCCACTCCACTCCACTCCACTCCACCCCATCCCACTCCATGTCTTCTTATGCTCCTGCCACATCTGTGCCCCCTTCCTTGTGCTCATCTCTCTGGTATAGCTCTCATTCCTTGCGCACAGAACCTCTCAGCATCCACACACCTCGTCACATCTACCATCCCCTCAACCTCCTCCCTTCATCCCCACCCCATGCTGCTCCCGTCCACCCATGCTGCTCCCGTCCACCCATGCTGCTCCCGTCCACCCATGCTGCTCCCGTCCACCCATGCTGCTCCCGTCCACCCCATGCTGCCCTCCCCCACGATCCTTCTCAACCCATCTCTGCGCTCATCCCCCCCTTCCCATGCTGCACCAGCGACTTCTCTCTCCCGGACTTCATCCACGAGGTGCAGGAGGACGTGCCGCCTGTGCCTTTGCGAATCCTCAAAAGTGACCAACCATTATTGCTTACCCCACCAACCCCAACCATCTCTGCGCACACCCCCTCCCTTCCCATGCTGCACCAGTGACTTCTCTCTCCCGGACTTCATTCACGAGGTGCAAGAGGACGTGCTGCCTGTGCTCAACGCTTACATGCATGTAAGCACTCACTTCCATGCCGTTCCATCTCCATAATACTTCCCCATCCTCGTTCCGTCTCCATAATACTTCCCCATCCTCGTTCCTTCTCTATAATACTTCTCCATCCTTCCCCATCCTAATCCTTGCTCCTCATCCTTCCCCATCCTTTCCCATCCTTCTTCCTCCTCGTCTTCCCCATCCTTCGTCCTTGCCCCTCATCCTTCCCCATCCTTCTTCCTTGCTCCTCATCTTTCCCCTTTCCTCCTTCCTCCAAAAACTGCTATAGTCAAGCAAATTTGTTCCCATGTCCCTCTTGCACATGCCCCTGCCCACCCACCTATCTACATCCGACAAGCACTCCCAACCACTTGTCCGCCTGCCCATTTGCGTGTGTGCGTGTGCCACCCGCAGGGCGACCTAGCAGCGCTCAAGGCGCGGTGTCGCAAGGAGGTGGTGGAGCGGTGCCGGGCTGAGCGCTCTTTTGAGGCGCCTCAAAAGTCCTGCTCACCTGCGTGCATGTGTGCGTGCGTGTGCCACCCCACCCGCAGGGCGACCTAGCAGCGCTCAAGGCGCGGTGTCGCAAGGAGGTGGTGGAGCGGTGCCGGGCTGAGCGCTCAGCCATGCTCGCACAGGGCCTGCACGCGCACCACCGGGTCAGTTTCGCAGGGGTGGGAGAAAGGAGGAGGAGAGAAACAGAATCGCCTGTCCTGTGTCTTTCTTTGTTTTTGTTTTTTTTTTGGTCGGTGTAAAGAAGCAATGCTTGCACAGGGTCTGCACGCGCACCACCAGGTCAGATGCACAAGGGGGAGAGAGGGGCGCAGGGGCGGCGGGGCAGAGGGGGCGAATGGAATGGGGTGGAAATGGGGAAGAGGGGTGGTGGGGCGAGGCAGGTAGAGGGACACAGGGCCTGCTGCTCGGGGTCAAATGCAGGTGGGGGGGGGAGGGGGTAGAGAGGCTGAAGGGCGATTTGTTTATCTTTGAGTCGACTCAGAGAAGGCATGCTCACACAGGGCCTGCACGCCTACCACCGGGTCAGATGCACGGGGAGGGAGGGAGGGGTAGAGGGGCGCAGGGACAGTGGGGATGAGGAGAAGGGGAAAGCGGGGAAGAGGTTAGGGGGGCAGGGGGGGGGGGGGGGGAGAGATGGATGGAGGGGTAGAGGGGCTGGAGAGTGCACAGGGGTGGAGGATGCACGCTAGTTGGGATGGGGAAGATAAGGGAGGAAGAGTTTGAGGAGCAGAGGGAAAGGCTTGGGGATGAGAGGAGTAATTGCATTTTCAGGGAGAGGATTGTTGGGGGGATGTGCTGGGAGAGGGTGGTGCGTGGTCAAGGATAGTGGGTAGGAGAAGCATCTGTTCCCGCTCACTCAGACGTGGAGGTGCGGGTGTTTTGAAACGTCTCAAGCATCTGTTCCTGCTCCTCCCTCACCCCTCTCTCTGCAGATCCTGCACCACTCAGACGTGGAGGTGCGGGAGGTGAAGCTGGTGGGCAACGACCCCGTCATTATCCTCCATGTCAGCTCCCTCACTCCCACACGCTCTTGCCTCCTTGTCACTCTCCTCACCTTCTTTCACATTCCTCCCTCCTCCATTCTCTCACCTCCATCCTCGTGCCTCTCTCCTCGCTCCTCCATCCTCCATCCTCTCTCCTCCATCCTCCCTCCTCTCTCCTCCATCCTCCCTCCTCTCTCCTCCATCCTCCCTCCTCTCTCCTCCCTCCTCCATCTCCGCTCCTCCTCTTCACTCCTTGCTCCTCGCACTGTTCGCTGTGGCATTGTGAGCATCTTTTTATGTGTCTAAAGATCATTTGCCCGGCTTACCATCCCAAACCCTTCAGTAGAGCCCATTCCTGTTTTCCCGGCCTAAACTCTCGTGCTCCCCTTTCTCACTGCCCACATGTGGTCGTAACATGCTCTTTCCATTTTCTTTCGACGTCTCCCCTCCGTCTCTGTCGTATAGTGTCCCTTTCACTCTTTCATGAGCATGTGTGGTTTGCCCTGTTCAGTACTAGGCCTTGATCGTTCTCGCTTGTTGCATCCATGCTATTTCGGCATGTTCGAACCACGCCATTTCGCATGTGCGTCTCACTCAATATTCAACTCATGTGTATTCATGTGGATGTTCTTGTGACCTGTGGCCCTACATGCCATGCATGTTCGTGTGCATGTGTGTGCACATGTTATGAGATTTGGTGTGGTGTGGTGTGCGTGGAATGTTCCTCTGAGTGCAGTTTACATCACAACAGATCTTCTGCTTAATGGACAAACAGGGGAAGGTGCACGAAGGGGGCAAGGTGAGTTCTTTCATGTCCGCAACCTCTTCCCCTGTTTCTTCAACGTCCATTTGGAGCATCTACTCGATCACCGTACCTTCCGCCATGCCATCACTGTCATGTTTTGCCTAATGAATTACTATATGTCCATGCATGTGTGTTTGTGCGTGTGTGTGTGTGTGTGTGCGTGTGTGGCAACAGGACAACATAATGACCATGTTCCATGCGTGGGCCATGCAGCAGGCATCGATGGAGGATCTTGCAGAGGATCCCAGTGAGCCCAAGTGGCGCTTGAGAGAGATGCAGCAGATGGGCATGCAAGCTCTCATTTAAACCACCGCCAACTTTTGTCACCAGCAGATGTCCCAGGAAGGTGTCAAATGTTGTAGCCTGTAGTGAGGTCTGTCTTAGGGGGTACAGATGTTAGGGTTTGTTATATGTACCCCAACCCACATCAATGAACCAACACTTTCGTTCTTGACATGGTATCACCTAGGTTAGGATCCTGTGGGATCCCGTTCCTCTCGTTCACGTCCGTAGCGCCCGAGCCTGTGCCGTACCCTAGTGCCTGTTATGCTCGTACTGTCCCCTAGCGCCTATCGCGCCTGCCGTTACGCCGCTCTCGTGCCCTCGCGCCCACTGCGCCTGCCGCTACGTCACTCTCGTGCCCTAGTGCCCGCTGCGCCTGCCGTTACTTCGCTCTCGTGCCCTAGCGCCCGCTACGTCCGTCCCATCCCGTCCCGTCCGTCCGTCCCGTCCGTCCGTCCTGTCCCGTCCCGTCCGTCCGTCCGTCCCATCCCGTCCCGTCCGTCCCGTCCCGTCCGTCCGTCCGTCCGTCCTGTCCCATCCGTCCCGTCCCGTCCGTCCTGTCCCGTCCCGTCCCGTCCCGTCCCGTCCGTCCGTCCCGTCCCGTCCCGTCCGTCCGTCCCGTCCGTCCGTCCTGTCCCGCCCGTCCCGTCCCGTCCGTCCGTCCCGTCCGTCCGTCCCGTCCCGTCCCGTCCCGTCCGTCCGCGTCGTTTTTTTTTTTTTTTTTTTTTTTTTTTTTTTTTTCGTCGTCGCGGCGCCCTAGTTTCGTCGTCGCGCCTGCCCGTACCGCCCGTCGCCGCGCCTACTAGTTAGGCCCGCCGCGGGCCCTCCCTTACAGCAGCTGCGGGCCCTCCCTTACGGCCGCCGCGCCTGCTAGTTAGGCCCGCCGCGGGCCCTCCCTTTCAGCCGCCGCGGGCCCTCCCTTACAGCCGCCGCGCCTACTGTTAAGACCCGCCACGGGCCCTACCTTACAGCCGCCGTAGGCCCTTCCTTCACACCGCTGCGCCTACACGTTCAGTCCGCCGCGGGACCGCCCCTAGCCCCGTTGCGCCCGCGTTTTGCTCTCGTCACGGACTTGCCCTAGCCGCCTACCGTCCCTACCGGTGCCACCCACCGCTCGACTTGTCGCCTCTCCTTACACTATGGCGACTCCTAGGGTTCTTCGCTTCGACGCTGACGGTAGACTGCTCGAGTTCCCGGTCTGGCTCCTACGCGCGCGTCGCCTCTTAGAGAGTCAGGTTCAGGCGGGCGAGTCCCTTTGGGCGCACGCTACTGGTGACCTTCCAGCGCCCGACGACCCTACGCCTTTAGGCACTGCCCCTGACGACGCAGCCAGGGACTGCTTCACCCGCCAACGTGCTGACCTGACGGCGTGGAAGTCGCGTGACGCTGCGGCCTGCATCGCTCTTAGCAGCCTCCTCCCTGAGTCTGAGGAGGCCCACTTCACTCAGGTTTGCACTGCTAGTAAGTTCCTGACTGCGATTAAGGCCCGCTACGCTACTTCCACCACTGTCTCTCTTGGCCGACTCTTCCTACCGTTCCTGTTCCCTGACCTCGCCTCGTTTGAGCGCTCTACTGACTTGATTGCTCACCTCCGCTCGCATGATTCTAGCTACCGCGCTGCTTGTCAACGGGAGTTGTGTGTTGGCCCCGTCCTCGCTTGGGCGGAACCGACTTCGTGGTCGGGTGTGAGGGGAGCAGCCGACCTGTAGCAGTGGGCGAGCTGGTTGACGAGAAAGTCGACCTGCACGGGAGCCACTGCAAGGGCGCCTACTTCGGGGTGGCGCCGACTTCAGGGAGGTCGACCTGGGAGGTTGACCTGCGGAGGACGTCAACTTGGTGACGTCAACTTGGGGCAGCCGACTTCAGTGGTCGGCTGACGGATTGCTGGTCGACCTGCTGGTGGTCGACCTGACCTGGTGGTCGACGAAGGAGGGGCCGACGTCGACCTCGACTCAGGACGCCGAGCAGTTGGGCGTCGGGTAGCTGGGCGTCAACTTTGTGACGCCGACTTCGGAGCCGACTTGGGAGGTCGGCTTACAACTGCGCTGGTCGACAAGGAGCAAGTCGACCTGGAGTGCTGGTCGACGTGGAGCTGGTCGACCAGAAGTGACGTCGACCTGGGGCTGGTCGACCAGGGGCGTGGTCGACTTGGTGAGGTCGACTTGGAGGTGGCCGTCGACTTGGGAGGTCGACGGGCACGTACGGGAGCAGCTGGTCGACGTGGTTGCCCGGTCGACCAGGTTACCTGGGTGACGAGGTGCTGCGGAGGAGTGCGACGGTCGCCCAGGCAAAGTTGGCGAGCCCGACCTCGGTGGTGGTATCCCGAGGTCGACGTGGCTGATCAGGGGGAGTCATTAGCGCCAGGTTGGCTTGGTGTGTGCGCTGTGCAGGTGACGAGGCTCAGCCCGCCAATCATCTGGGAGCACCTGCGAAGCTGGTGCGCTGTTGTTCTGCGTGAGCAGCGCTGGCACGCCGTCAACCTGCAGCGTTGGCACGCAGTCGACTTTGCGCTGCTGGAGCGCGGTCGACCAAGTCGTGCTGGAATGCGGTCGACCGTGCTGCGCTGGCAGTCGACTGACCAGAATGCTAGCTCTGATGTAGTCTAGCCATGCCAACTTCATTATACCATTTTTTGTTGTCAACTTTCTCTAGTGAAACTCTTGCCAATTCTCCCTGTGAACTAGCAAGCAGTGTGTGCACTAGAAAAACGACTAAGGACCAACGAACGCAGAGATCACACGAGTACTCGTGCCTAGCCCGTAGTCTAGCTCCCGTTGTAGTAGTTATCTCCGCACTGCTTGCACTGAGGCACAGCTTGCACTGCTCCCTCCCCCCATTGCGATTACTATCTACTTCATCGCCACTAGCCTCCCTGACCACCTTGCCTCAGTCCGTGACACGCTTCTTCTGAAGCACCCTAGTGAGCTCACTATTGAGGTCCTCGAGTCTGCGCTCAAAGACGTCGAGAGCAACCTCCGCTCCGTAGCCTCCGCCTCTGGTGTTGTGCCCCCTCCACTGTTCCACGGGTGCACTGTCCCTCAGCTGCCCACCTTTACAGCCTCTCTCGCCACTGCTGCTACTGACGTGACCGCAGCTGCTGTTACGACTTCTTCGCGGTCTCGACGTAGCGGTGGCAAGAGGGGCGGTCAGGGTACAGGTGGCGGCGACGGTGGAGGCGTTGGCGGCGGAGGTGGTGGGGGTGGCGTGCCGACTGGTGGCGGCGGGAGTGCAGGACTCCCACGTGCAGCGGCCGGTGACTCCGCTCCTGCAGCCGGTGGAGGCGATGCCCGGGCTCGTCAGCCACCTTCTGGTCTGCCGGCCGCGGCGGGTGGGGCAGCGGCGTGGTACCTGGCCCAGCGGCGGCAGCAGCAGCAGCGGCAGCAACAGAAGCAGCAGCCCCTCCCCTTGCAGCAGCCCCAGCAGCAGCAGCGGCAGCAGCAGGTTTCGGGGCCAGGACAGCGTCAGCCTCAGCGAGGTGTTGTTCACCCTTCGTGCACCTATCAGGTTCTGACAGGTGCTCGCCGAGGCCAGCCTTGTGGCCGCACCCACCATCCTGGTCAATGCTTTGCTCAGCTCACTGACACGGTTCGCTTGGCCTTCGGCATTGGCGGCCCTGCTCCTGACTGGTTACCTCTTGTTCAGACGTACGGCTCCACTCTTTGGGGCATGTCTGCTTCTCAGTTGCTTGATCTCTTAGGAACTCCTCATGCTATGTATGCTGTTGTTGACTCTAGTGCTTCTGACTCTGTTTACTCGAGTGTTGTTCGCTTAGGTGCTAGTCTTGCTGAGTTGCCTGTTGCTAGTGTAGGCACTTGTGTAGACACTAGTCCAGGTGCTACTTCGGAGAACGCTTCGCTGTCTTTCACTCTGGACTCTGGGGCTTCGCACTGCTTCTCCCGCGACCACACGACACTTACTCCACTTCCTGTGCCAGTCTCTGTGGCCCTGGCTGATCCCACCTCGGGACCAGTCACTGCTCGCTACACCACTACTCTTCCTTGCCCTGCTGTTCCCTCTGGGTCTCTGACTGGCTTCCACGTCCCCTCCTTCTCGAGGAACTTGGTGGGCGTGAGGCCTCTTGTGAGTCAGCACGTAGGTGTGTGGATTGAGCCCTCTGGTGAGACGGCGGTTTGTGTTGACGGTGACACTTACTCACCTCTTGCCACCTTTACTGCCGAGCCGGGCTCTGGTCTCTACACATTTCACACTGGCTCTGGTGGGCAGCAGCAGCAGCAGTAGCAGCAGCAGCAGCAGCAGCGGCAGCAGCAGCGACTCCTGCCCCCGGCCCCGGTTACTTCCCCCAGTCTGGTCCCTGCGTCTCACCAGGTTGCTGCGTCCTCCCAGGTAGCTGTTTCTGGTCAGGTTCCCGTGTCTGGTCCAGTTGCTGCGTCGTGCTCCTGCCGGTCGCTTGCACACCCCACCGTTCTGTGGCACCACCGGACGAGGCACCCGTCCCTCCCTTGTCTGCGCGCTATGTCTCGTCAGCGTCTTGTCTTAGGCCTCCCGCGTGTCTTGCCGTCGCTGCCCCCTTCGCTTGCACCGCCGTGCGGTCCCTGCGTCGAGGGTCGGCTGCGCGCCACCCCTCACTCCTCCTCCCTTCGTCCGGCCACCGAGCCTTTTGAGACGCTCCACTTGGACGTCTGGGGCCCCGCCCCTCGCCTTGGCCCTGAGCGCGAGCGTTTCTTTTTGGTGGTCGTTGACGACTACTCCCGCTACACCACAGTGTTCCCCCTGGCGAAGAAGTCTGAGGTGACTTCTTTGCTGATCAGGTGGCTGCTTACCACTGAGGGCACTCGTGGTCGTCGTGTCAGCTGTCTTCACTCTGACCGTGGGGGTGAGTTTCGCTCCGGCATTCTCGCTGGATTCTGTCGCGAGCAGGGAATTCGTCAATCCTGGACGCTTCCAGAGTCCCCACAGCAGAATGGGGTTGCTGAGCGCCGCATAGGCTTGGTCATGGAGATCGCCCGCACCTCCTTGACTCACGCCCATGCCCCCCATTTTCTGTGGCCCTACGCGGTTAGGTACGCCGCTCACCAGCTGAACCTCTGGCCACGCGTCTCTCGGCCAGAGGCTTCACCGACCAGTCTTTGGACCGGGTCCCCTGGTGTTGCGTCGAGGTTTCGTGTCTGGGGTTGCTTGGCTCTTGTCCGCGACACTTCCGCGGACAAGCTCTCGCCTCGCGCCGTTCCCTGTGTCTTCCTTGGTTTCCCTGAGGACTCCTCTGACTTCACCTTTTACCACCCTCCCTCTCACCGGTTCTTTGACTCCCGTGACGTCCGCTTCGAGGAGTCCACCCCCTACTACGTCAGGTACCCCAGTCGAGGTCTCCCGGTTCCTCCTCCCCCTCTCTTCCTGACTTCCGCTCCCCCTCTTGCTCCCCCGGTGCAGCCTCCTCCCCCTGGTCCCGCCCCGTCAGGTGTGTCCCAGGCTACCCCTCCCCCCTCGGTAGCCCCTCAGGTGCAGCCTCCTTCCCCGCAGTCCTCCTCGCAGCCCGCGGCAGTCCTTGCGGGAGCTAGTGCTCGTGGAGAGGGTCCTATAGGTGCTAGCTCTGGGGGTGCTGGAGTTGGAGCTGAGCCTGTGGTTGCAGGAGACTCTTGTCTTCTGGGAGCTGGTGTTGGTCTTGCTGACTTTGGGGGTGCTACGTCTGGGGGTGCGGGTGCACCCTCTTCGGGTCCTGGTGAGCCTGGTCGTGTTGCTGTTGGTAGTGCTGACTCTGGGGGTGGTGCGCCAGGTGCTTTGGAGGGCGGTCTCGGGGCAGCCGCAGCCCCCGACACTACTCCTCCCCCCCACCCCTACCCGACCCGGCACCAGGCTCGTGTTCGCCGTGCCCGTGAGGAGCAGCTGGAGTTGGAGAGAGAGGAGAGGGAGTTGCAGCGGCTTGAGGAGCAGCAGCAGCAGCAGCAGGAGCAGCTGCAGCAGCCGCAGCTGGAGCCGCCGCAGCAGCAGGAGGCGCAGCCGCTGGAGCCGCTGCAGCAGCAGGAGGAGCAGCAGCCGCCGCAGCAGCAGCAGCAGCCGCCGCCTCCTCCTCCTGTCTCTGGTCTTCGGGCCCTCGGTCTCCCCTCTCGCTCTCCTTCCTCCTCCCCCTCTCCTCCCGTCTCGGGTCCTCCGCTTCCTCCTCCTGACCCCTCCCCGGCAGTTTTCCCTCGTTCTCAGCCTCCGTTGTCCCCTCCTCCTTCTCGGTCTTAGGCCTCTCGTCGCTCCCCTCATGCTCGTCCCTCGTCTCCTGTTCTCGTTACTGACCTTCGTACTGCCCTCTTTTGTTCTAGTCCGCCTCGTTCGTCTCCGTCTCTCCTTCCGTCTCCTCCTGAGTCGGCCTTCACTGCTTCTCTCTCTACTCCTGTCACTGACTACTACCGCACGTACCGTCCTATTCTCTCTCGTGTTCTTGCCTCTCTTGTTACCGACCCTCGTGCCTCTGTCTCCTCTGTCTCCGCCCTTACTGCCGCATTCACTGAGTTTGCCTCCACTCACTGCCTTGACTATGCCACCGGTCTTGTGGCTGCTCCTCCTACCAGTCCTCTGGCCGTCGGGGGTGAGTCTGCCCTTGGCTGTGACGTCCTAGAGGACAGGCAGTTTGAGCTAGAGTTCCTGGCAGCCGCTTCCCCACATCTCTGTGCCATGTTGCTCACCCCTGAGGGAGACCCCGACGCCATGGATGCAGAGATGGCCTCCTACAGATCCACAGGCACCTACGTCGACGAGGTTCCCCCCCCTGGGGCGAACGTAGTCGATGGCATGTGGATCTACAGGGTGAAGCGGCCACCGGGATCTCCTCCGGTCTTCAAGGCGCGCTACGTGGCTAGAGGTTTCAGTCAGCGCGAGGGATTTGACTTCTTTCAGACCTTCACGCCTACCCCGAAGATGACCACTCTTCGGGTGTTACTGCACGTAGCAGCACAGAGAGACTACGAGTTACACTCTCTCGACTTCTCCACTGCTTTCCTTCAGGGTAGCTTACACGAGGAGGTCTGGCTGCGTCGTCCCTCTGCCTTCACTGGCACTTTCCCTCCTGGGACCCATTGGAGGCTGAGGCGACCTGTCTACGGTCTTCGTCAGGCTCCTCGTGAGTGGCACGACACTCTTCGTTCTACCCTCTCTGACCTTGGGTTCCAGCCGTCTTCTGCCGACCCGACGCTGTTCGTTCGTCGTGACTCCACACCGTTCTTTGTTCCGGTCTACGTCGACGACTTGGTTTTCGCCACTGCTGACAGGGTTGCCTTGGCAGACGTGAAGTCCGAACTGCAGAAGAGACACACGTGCAGTGACCTTGGTGAGCTGCGCCACTACCTTGGCCTGCAGATCACCAGGGACAGAGCTGCTCGCACCATTACACTCTCACAGTCACACATGGTGCAGCAGGTTCTTCAGCGGTTCGAGCTTCAGCACTCCACAGTACAGCGCACACCTCTTGCTGTTGGCCACAGACTTACTGGACCCTTTTCTGACGAGCCGTTTGAGTCTAGTGGTCCCTACGCAGAGCTGGTGGGCTGCCTCATGTACCTGATGACTTGCACTCGCCCGGACCTCGCCTTCCCTCTCAGCATCCTTGCTCGCTTTGTTGCGCCAGGGAGACACCGCCCTGTTCACTGGACGGCAGCTGTGAGGGTGGCGAAGTACCTAGCGACGACATCAGGCGTGGGGCTAGTTCTTGGAGGGCAGCAGCTTGTCTTACTTACTGGTCACTGTGACTCTTCTTACGCTGACGACACTGAGACTCATAGGTCTACTCAGGGGTATTGTTTCAGCTTGGGTTCTGGAGCTGTTTCGTGGCGGTCCACGCGCTCCTCTTCGGTCTCGACCTCTACAGCTGAGGCTGAGATCTACGCTGGTGCCATGGCGGCACAGGAGCTGCGTTGGTTGACCTTCTTGCTCGCCGACCTTGGTGAGCGGCCGAGCTCTGCACCGACCTTGTTCACTGACAACAAGGCGTCGATTCTCCTTTGTCGAGAGCCGCGACTGGAGAGCAGAGTGAAGCACATTAACGTCAGGTAGTTTCTTCTGCGAGAGTTGCAGAGACGGGGACAGGCTCGCTTCGAGTTTGTGGAGTCCGAGGCCAACACTGCAGACATCTTCACCAAGGCGCTTCCGCCTTGTGACCACCAGAGGTGTTGTGTACAGTTAGGCCTTGTTGACACCGTTTTTAGTCGTGTATAGGCTTAAGTCTACTGTTTGCTTTGCTTGTACTCTTGCTATACACACTTGTGAACTCTCGAACTGGCCTTGTGGCCCCTGTTGCTTGTACTCAGAGTGTGTGGTGACGTTGTGATCTACCCTGAGCTTTGTTGCTTTATGACTGGTTTTGTGACCGTACACTTTTGGTTTTGCTTGACACCCCTCACTTAGGCTATGGGGGTGTGTCAAATGTTGTAGCCTGTAGTGAGGTCTGTCTTAAGGGGTACAGATGTTAGGGTTTGTTTTATGTACCGTAATCACCCGGATATAACACCCTAGGGTCTTACTTTAAATACAGTGAAAAAATGGGGGGGTCTTCTCATTGGAAAAAACTATATACTACCCGGGTTGATATATATGGCACATTTGAGTGTAAGGAAATCTTCAAATAGACAACTTGGGTGTTTTCATAGTTGTTTTAACATCACAGGTTGAGGCGCGAATGTGAGTTTCGGCAACAACTTCATGACCCCCTTGAAGATGCCATGTGGCACCTCTTTAGCCACTTGACAACGAATGTTTCACCAGCGTGGCGACAAAGAAATCGTGGGAGGGGAGGAATCTCGGTTGATATTATTTGAAAGTTCCATGTGATTTCGCCAGAAAGGGATTCTCGCGTCCTCCCGTGCTTGCACCTACTCGTTATTAGCTGATATAATAAGAAATCTATAACAAAAGGGGGGTGTTATATAAAATCACCCCAAAAGTGGGGTATAATAAAAACGAGGTCAACTATAAGACCCACCCCACCCCGCACAAGCCACCCAGGGGGTGTTCAATTTCGGCGGGTGGTATGTCCGGGTGATTACGGTACCCCAACCCAAACCAACACTTTCATTCTTGACAGAAGGTCCCCACCCCCTCCGCATTGCCGCACTTGCTCTTTGTTTTTGGAGGGGACCAAGACCTGCTGTAAGGTGATGGTAAATTCGCTTTGTGATTCCATGGTAGTACACGAACTTCTCCATTCCACAAAACTACAGGGATTGGAAGCATGACCATATAGACATGCTGCTGCTAGAAACCAACCCACTGTATGCATGGGTTAGCATATCCAGGGCATCCATTGTGCCGTATGTAAGGTCTCTACTTCTGCACCTCGTTAACATGACCTGCATAGAGCTCCCCTCAATACCCTGGTTTCTGTATCGTATGCTCCTGGAGACTTGTTTAGGGCAAGTGAAAATGAGTGGATACATAGGGCATGACAAACACAAACCAGCCTGATCAGTATAACATCCTCTCGTTGCTTTGGCATGCATCCAGAATATAGTGATATAATTGTTGATAAAATATTGGAGGAGGTGTTGGATGGATTGGTAACTGACTGGTGACAAATCAGTGTAGTCCCCTGTTAGTGCAATATTTTTGCAACATAGAATCTGTAGGAGAAAGTTATTGTACACCACTGGCATGAGCTTCTTGCACTAACAGTGAGTCCTGCCTATTGAAGAAAACTAGCTAAACCCTCGCTAATCCTTTGTCTATGTGGCAAGGCAAGACAATAACGAAGCTGTTTTTACCGAGAATGTGTTTGTGTCTTGGTGAAAAGTTGCAGAAGCCTCCAAAAGAACTCCTGGGAAAACACGTCACACTCACCAAGGGACCAGTCACAGCAAAAACTGTCGCCAGTTCATTGAGCGCACATAATAATGGGGACATCGCACATGCCATGCCATTCAACCAAACGATGGTTGGGTTCACATAGCTGACCAATCAAGAAGCAGCACGATGCACCCTCCTTCTTGGAGGGGTACAGCCGACTGTTGAGCAAAACCCCATGTGATGTGGTATGGTCTGATGTGGTGGTGTGGTGTGGAGTGGGCTACTAACGATGACCTCCTACACCCCCGTCCTTCCCCCCTATTGCCGATCAAACCCTTCCCCCAGAGTTGAGTCCATGAGGAAAGGGAGTTTCAGTATGTCTCACACCCGGAACTCCCGCTCACACTCCTTCGCAGGAGGTATTTGACTGTTTGATAAGAGCAACTATTCAAATTCTGAGACGGTTGTGAGAGGAAGGAAGCCTAGTAGACGAAGGTCGACGGTGGCCGCAAGACTTGGAAATAGTGTTTTTGAGTAAAGGGTTATCCAGGACTTAGAAAATCGTATTGTAGGTTGCTGGACTAAAGCTGGTCACTGAATCAGTGAGACATGCCGAAGAAGAGAAAGTCGGAGACACCAGGGCTAGAAGACGGCGATAAAACCCTGTTTTCGTCCTTCTGCGCCGCTGCTAATTCTTTGTCCCAGCTATATTCTCAGGCGCAAAACCAACAACGAGTCGCCTTTCAGTCCGGCGAGCGGCATGCCCTTGTACGTCCTCATTTCCTTTCCGAAGTTTATCAGTTCCCTCTCTTCTTTTTGCGCTACCAATCTACTTGCTTCCCCTTCTCTTGCTCCACCTCGGTTCGTTCACGTTTTTTGTTTTGCTCTTCCAGTCCCGTCTGCAGCAATGGTTGACGTCGGATCAGGGGGCTGGGGGAAGCAACTCAGGTCTCGTTTCCAAGGAGCAGATTCTGGACTTCATTCAGGTAGGCTATCCATTAACCCTGTCTCGTCAGGTTCTGGCGCCTTGCCGCTGTTCATTTTGTTTTTGTTGTTTCGTTTTTAAATGCTTTGCCGTATGTACCTTCTCAAAACTGACTATTGGCTTTTTTTCCCCGCCTTGGTGATTTCCTTTGCGCCACAGGGGGAGCTGGATCGGATGGACGACGGTCCTCCTCTGGGGAATCTTTGCTCCTCCCAACGGCCGTCCGGTGCCTCGGTCCTTCCCACTCTGTCGGGAAGTAATGCGCCGTTGCTTTCCCAGCTCGATCGTTGCCATATTCGCCCTCGCGGATCAAACGGTAGTTCGGGAGGAAGCGCAGAGGGTGGATCGCGGCATCGTCAGCAGAATCCCCAGCAACTGCACCACTCCAGGCAACACCAACAGCAGCAGCACCAACAGCAGCAGCAGCAGCAGCAGCAGCAGCCTCCTGGGCAACCGGCCTTTGCGCAGTCTCAGCCTGTTCATCAAGTGCAACAAGCACAACCTTCTGTTGAGCTTCCAGCTACAAATGCTCGTGCATCCGTGAATCTAACCAGCAGCACTGGCCCTGCTCCTTCTGCTGTGCCGTTGCCTTCCAATTCCTCTCCTCTGAAAAATCCCCCTGCTCAGAACATTCCCCCGGGTCTACGACATGTGCAGCTGTCCAGTGGTCCTCCTCAGCCTGGGTATCACAATCCCGAGCCACTAGGTGGCCAACCAGTCGCACAATTCAGCCAGCAACATCAGCAGCCTAGTCAGCAATACTACAACCAGATGCATAATCTTGGAGGGCAGTCAATGCATGCGTTTGCCTCTGCTGGACGTTTGACACATGTGATTGGTGGTGATGGTTCTGCCAGCATGGATACGTGATGTTTGTTATTGATTTATCTTTGAGGGCAGTCATTAGTAGTAGAAGGTTGGATCCCTCATTTGGGATCTAGAAACTCCCAGTATCTAAGTGTTGTGTTATCAAATCTTGTGTCGGGATTAGGTGTAAAGCAGGAGGCCCACTGCATACATGACCGAAACACCAACACCTGCCTAAATGAAGTGGGTGTTTTACGTTCAATCCTTGATTTCCAAGCTGGAATGTGGAGTGTGCTCTGTACACAAAATTTCTTATGTTCCAAATCCCAAGTCTGATTTCATCGGCCGTACAACACATAGTGTCAGTCCACCTAAAAAAATCCATCGACGCAGGATGCCGCATGTCTGACGAAGCAGTATCGCCATATGCTACTACTGTGTTTCCTCGTCGTTGATGGCATGGTGTCCCCTTCATGGCAATCTCGAACATCCGTTGTTGATGGGATTTGAATGCATAGTCCGTTCGTAGATTGGATACTGGCTCCTTGGAAATTGGCCGTCGCGGTAGACACAGCAACCGAAATGGTGCCTGAGGTTGTAACGTATGCGAGCTCCTAGGCCTGAATGTTCTCAACCGCTAGATGCTCGAAGTCTCTAAACTAAACATACTTAGTGCCTGTCATTCTGAAGGCGAAGCAGCAACGGCGCCGTTCTCTGTTCAACATCAAGCTCGCCCCTTACACTGAGAGGCGGTCGCCATGGATTTCGTGGCCCGAGCGACGAAATCAGGTTCTCGCGACGCCCTGCTGTCCCTTTCCCGTCCGGTCCCGTCGTTTTCTGCAATGAAATCATCCACTCTTTTCCTTTCTTTTCCCGGGATTCTCAGGAGCTACAATCTCTTTCCTTAGAGTCCTCAGGAGTTACAATTCTTTCAGAATCATTTTTTGCTTTTCATAGAGTTATTCGTTGCTTTCCATAGTGTCATTCTGAAGCCATTGTTTCCCTCCCCAACCCCCGCATACCACACCCCATCCCCGCAACCTTGTCTCCACGTGGTGCCCTTACCGCGCGCAGTGTTGCGAGCAGCAGCTTCGCGCATGGGAGAAGATCACTCTGCCGCACAGTCGCCCTCCTCCACTCCGCGCGGGTCCACAGCAGCACCCGCCAGAGCCTCTTCGCCGTACTCCCACTCGCCGGGTCTCGTCGCGCCTGCCTTCTCCCGTACGTTTACTTTGCAATGGGCTGGAGGTGGGATGGGTTGATTTGTCATGGAAAGCAGTTTTTTTTTGGGAACTCTCGAAACTTTGCAATGGGCTGGAGGTGGGATGGATAGCTTCGTCATGGCGCACAAGCGAGTGTCGTTCACCTTTTTCTTCATGTTTTCGTGTCCTTACTGGAACGTGCTATGCCTTTTATCCGTTTGTTATGAGAGGGTTTGCCAGTTCCTGGGTCTCATCTTCTGTGTCCTATCCCTCTTGCATGCATGCATCCATGCGTGCGTGCATGTGTGCATGACTCCGTCCACGTTTTGCATGTGCACATACACACATACATGATTCACACATGCATGTGGTGTTGTGCTGGCGGCGGCAGAGGAGCACCTGCCATGGATCATGAAGTCAGCGCATGAGAAGCCATACGAGGAGGAGCTCAAGAAGCGCATACTCGCCCTCTCACAGGTGTGTACCGCTGTCTGTCACCTGCATGCGTATTGTCTCTCTACCCCCGCATGCTCCTCCCCTCGGCTGCTCTCCCCTTCGCCCTATTCACCCTTCTCCGAACACACTTAAGAAATTCCGGCAGTTCGCGTTCTGGATACAATTGATGATTCCAATGGGCTCTGTACTGTACTCTACTCTACTCATGTAACCCTCCCCGTGCAGAGGCCAGAGGAGTTCCTATACGGCGAGTTGGACCCATCGCTGCTCATTGACATGCGCCAAGCCACCCTCATGGCTGCGTCTGTGCTGCAGGTCCGTCCGTCCCTCTCTCCACTACTACAGTCCTCCGACATGGATATCCCCCTCCCCCTCATTTACCTGGCTGTTCTATCTTCTCCCTTCCACCGATCCCATGCTCGATTCGTCTCTTCGTGCCTTCTCCCCGTTCCGCTCCCTCTGTCCCCGCTCTCTGCCTCTCCCTGTGCGTCCTTCTGTGCGTCTACCCTTGCATCTCCCTGTGCTCCTCCCCTAGCATCGCCCCGTGCTTCTGTTAGAACGGCGTTTCATCCACGTGGCCACCCCTTCTCTTATTGCTTCTAATTTCTCATGCCTCTCCCTCTTCTCATTCCCCATGCCACCTCTCAATGCATGCCATCCATTCCCATTGTCGTGCTGCTGTCGTGATAACTACCCCCTCCGCCACCCCCTTTACTTTCCCCCAACCCCTCCCCTCCCCCCCCCCGTCATCCTCATTTTCAATCAAGCTTCCCAACCCCCCCCCCCAGCACCTCCTTCCCCTCCCGTCCCCCCTCCCCGCGCCCTTCGCCCCTCCTTCCCATCCACTGTATGGCAGGTGGATGAGGAGCTGAGGCAGCTGCGGCTGCGGTTTGTGCCTCGGGTGATGAAGGAGCAGGAGTTTTGGCGGCGCTACTTCGTTGCTGTCAAGGCCGTCAAGCACCAAGTCCTCACGCAATCTCTGCTGCACCCGCAGCCGGAGCAGCCGCAGCAGGCGCCGCCGGAGAGTCAGCAGCAGCAGCATCAGCAGCAGAGGGGGATTAATGGGAGTGCCCCATCGACCAAGTCACTCATTTCATCGTTCTCTACCATGACCAACGCTGCTGCTGCTGGTGCTGTTGGTACTACTGGCATGACCCCAGACATGAGCCGAGAATCATCAACCCCAGAATTACGTGGTACCAGTGGCAGCAGAACTAGTAGTGGTAATGGTGGTGGTGGTGACGGTGCTGGTAGTAGCAGTGGCGGTGCTGGTGGTAGTGGTGGTAAGGAATATCGCACTTCTTCCACTACTTCACTAAAGTCGGATGGCAGCTTGGTCACGCCCCATTCAGCAATGATCCCCAGGGACAATGCTGCTGCGGGAGGCGGAGGAGCAGGAGGGGGAGAAGGCGGTGGGGGGGAGTCTGGGCTGCCACGGACGGGGAGTGGCCGGCGTTCAATGTCGTTTAGTGGGACCCAGCCATGGACATCCCCTCCAGCCGGGCGGCCTTTGTCGCCGGCCAAGCAAAGACCACCTGTGGGCAGGGGAAGGAGCGATAAGGAGCGGGCTATGCGTCGCTCGGTGGGTGGGGCAAGGGGATGTGGGGAGGGTGGGGTGGGAGGGCGTAGCTTGCTTCTGGGGGATAGGGGTTGTGACTTTCAGTCGAATCAGAAGTCACCTGTGGGCAGGGGGGAAGGAGCAGCATAAAGCGGACATGCGATGCTCTGTGGGTGCGTGGAGGGGAGGGGAGGGAGGACGTAGCTGCTAGGGGTTGGTAGTTGTGGCGTGGGGCTGGTGGGAGTATATATTCAGCGGACCTAGCTGCTGGTGTAGCATTGTTGAGGTGAGTTTTGAGGCGCCTCAAAACACATACCCTGACACATTTTAAGGCGCCTCAAAACTAGCTGTGCATGGGGCTGGTGGGTGTATATATTCAACGGACCTAGGAGCTGGTGTAACAGTGCTGAGGTAATAGCTAGGTTGGAGTGAAAAGAGCAGGGTATGCTGTTTGTGGTATAGCAGACTGTTGGAATGGGAAAGAAGAAAGTGCCGGGATAAGGTTAGAGGGAGAATGGGAAGGGTTTGTGGGGAATCAGTACAGGTAGAGCTGTGTATTGTGTGTGTTGGCATGTGCGCACGCGCGCACGTGCATGTAAGTGCATGTGTGTACGCACGCATGTGTTTATGTGCAGGCACATGCATGCGTGTATGTGTGTGTGTGTCTGTGTGCGTATGTTCGAGCATGTATCTGTTCTACCTGTTCGCGCACATATTGGCACACCTTCTCATCACACATGTGCTTGCATGCACCGCACATGCCCCCATGCGCCCCATGTCTTCCCCACAATTCCCCCATGCCCACCGTGCCCCCAACCGCTAGCACGGGAGGAGTCAATGGACGATGGGGACATGAGGATGCTTTCCTGCCCATCTCCCTTTTCATTCGACCCAAAGAGCGAACCATACCTCCTCACAAACCCCCATCCGCGCCATAGGTCCTCACAAACCCCCATGCGCGCCATACCTCCTCACAAACCCCCATGCGCGCCATACCTTCCCACAAACCCCCATGCCCCTTGACAGCTAGCACGGGAGGAGTCAATGGACGATGGGGACATGGAGGATGCTTTCCTGCCCATCTCCGTGCCCTCCTCTGTCACCATTCGCCGCCTCGCCCAGGCTCTCAAGTACGCTCTGCTGCTCCCTCTCTGCTCCTCTCCGCGCTTTGCAGCACTGCAGTCTACTACGCTGCACTCTCTACTATACTGCACTGCACTGCACCACACTGTATCGCTCCGTACTGCACTGTGCATAATCAATGTCGATTCCACTGAGAGAGCAGCAATCATGGATCGCGACCTGTACCCCATGCACCTCACTCACTCTTTGGTAAGAACAGCCCAGTAACCTCTTTGTCCTTGAACTCCCCATTGGCCACACTTCTCCCCTCCACCTCCCTCCTCCTTCCTTCCCTTCTGGCAGCATGGTGCGGGCATTTGCAACAGTAGAGGACATGGCATGTGAGGGCAGCAGTGACGACTCGCCAGAGGCACGCAACAATTTTGAGGCTCCTTAAACCCACCCCATCCGCCTCCCCCCCCTCTCCTCCTCGCAGCATGGCGCGTGCGTTCGCAACAGTGGAGGACATGGCATGTGAGGGCAGCAGTGACGACTCGCCAGAGGCACGCAGCAGCAGCGGCGGGGCACGAGGGGCCCCAGGCAGAGGGTCCATGGTGGGAGGGGGAGCCGGCATGGGTGGCGGCGCCGGCAGTGGCATGAGCGGAGGGGGCAGAGGAGGAGGAGATGACGAATACGGTGCTAATGGTGGTGGTGTTGCTGGTGGTGGAGCAGGGGCGAGTGGCAGTGACCGGTGGTCTTCTCTTGTATTACAGACTGTGGAGGCAGGCTTTGCCGCAGCGCTCAGTCTCGCTCCTAAGGGGTCCGGCACAGGAGCACACAGCGGGATGGCTGGGAGTGAATGCTCAGGGGGAGGGCGCACAGGAGGAGGGGGAGGTGGTGGTGGTGGTGGGGGTGCAGGAGCTGCTGGTGGTGGTACTGGTGGGAGTCCCAGCCTTGCTCGCACGTTTAGCTTTACTGGAGGAGGAGGGGGTGGTGGTGGTGGTGGTGGGGGAGGTGGCAGGCGCAGGCACAGCCGCACTCGCACGCTGGCGTTTAACCCTGGAGAGTACAGTGCACTGCTGTGGTCGCTCTTTGACCTTGGTGCGTGCTGCTCTTGCCCTCTGTGCCCCTGTCCTCTGTGTTGGTCAGTCTTGGTCCACCCCATTGGGAACGGACGTATTAGTGCGTAAAGTTTTTTTTGGCTGAATGGCATGATTTGCATGGTTCTTGTCTTGTCTATCTGCTGTCCTCCCTGCCCTGTCTGTCGTTTGCCACCCTCACCTGATCCCACTTTGCCCTTCTGCCAATTCCAGTTTTCTCCCCATTCCATCCCCCCCATCGTCATCCCGTCCTCCCAATTCCATCCTCCCCAACCGTTCCCCTTCCAATCCCCACCCGATCCCCATCGCATCCCTCCCCCCTAATCCTCACGCAAAACCAGAGGACGAGGCATGGGAGAATTCAGAGAGTCTGGAGCCTCTGTCTCTCGGCCAAACCACCAGCGCCAGCATGAGTAGCAGCAGCAGCCTCACAGGCCACAAGCAGGCAGGCGCCACGGGGCGATCAGAGCCGTCCATTGTGCACGAAATCCACGGCGCGCCACCGAGTGGGTTTGTGGCTCAGCTGGCGGAGACGATGGCGGGGATCTCTTCAGACTCTAAGATGGCTGGATTCTGGATGCAGATCGTCATGGAGGTGGGTGTGATGGAGCTGGGTGCGGTGGAGGTGGGTGGTGGAATGGGCACTTAACGTCCTTAGACACCTCGCGAGATGGGTTGCTGGATAGGAAGGAGAGGGAGAAGGGGGTGGGAGTAGGGGCGCTATTTGTGGAGTGGACCACTTTAGGTGTAATGATTGGATTGTCCATGGATTGCCAATGTGCTCCTCTCTCGGACCCCCTTCCCACCACTCTCCTCACCAATCTCGCCATTCTCCTTCCTCCCCCGGTCCCTTGTCCCTGTCCCCTGTCCTCTCTCCACACGCCCGTCCCTCCCCCCTCTTCCCTTGACAGCTGCGGCGGCGGTGGGCAGCGAGGCGGTTCATCCCGCGGGTGCCGCAGGACAGCGATCCGGACCTGCACACGTGCCTGCTGCACCAGCACCTGCACCTCCTCAACTGCTGCACCGCCCGCCGCCTGCGCCGCTCGCACCAACTCGCCCATGGAAGCCCCTCCAGCGCTGCTCCTGCTGGGAGTGTTTATGGGAGTGTCGCTGGGAGCGGATATGCGGGAGGGAATGCGTTTGGGAGTGTGGTGGCTGAGGGCTGTGAAGGGAGGGAAGCGGGTGAGGGTTCTGTCGGGAGGGGTGGAAGAGGCGAGGAAGAAGAGAGTGGGTTGAGAGAAGTGGAAGGGGGAGCAGCTGGCTTGTGCATGGTGGGAGGGGTGAGGAGGAGAGGGGTGCTGCGCCGGGTGCCAGGGCTGGACCTTCTAGACACGGGGGAGCCTCTCTGCGCACCCATCACCCAGGTTAGAACGCATGTTCACTTGTATGCTTGTGCGCTTGTGCGGTTGTACACAGCAGATTGTGCCTGTGTTTGCCTGTACGGTGATCCTGCTGGTTTGGCTTCGTTCCCCCTGTCCTGCTGGGTTTAAGATGTGTGCATTCTTGCTTGCACACATGCATGTAGTTACATACCCACACGCATGCCCTGGTACGATTGTGTTCTGTACATGTGATATCAACGTCTGACTGGGGGAAGGTGTAAATGTGTGTCCATATTGGGTGCGTGCATGTATGGGTACATGCATTTATGCATGTGTACATGTATGGTTCATGCATTTTTGCATGCGTGCATGAATGTTTACCTGGATTTGTGCATGTATGTTAACCTGCATTTGTGCATGCGTGCATGCATGTTTACCTGCATGCATGCACGTGTGTGGCATGTGTGAACGAGCAGGAGGGACCACTGTTGACAGAAGTCACTCTGAGAGAGCAAGAGGAGCTCATCATGAGGACCGGCAGGTGACACTTCACTTCAACCCACCCACTTCTTCGCCACCATATTTTTTCCTCTCCCCCACCTTTCCCCCGTCCCCTGGCACGCCCCTTCCTCTTTCTCACTCCCTCCTTGTTTCACTATCCATCCATCCTTCCCTCCCTCCCTCCCTCCCTCCCTCCCTCCCTCCTGTCCTCACTCCTGAATGTGTATGCACATACATGCTCATGATCCCCCATAGCCATGCACTGCTTATGCACCATGCATCCCTCCACCCACCGCCCCTCCTCCCTCCAGTGTGGGCACGGGCTGTCAGCAGCTTTTCTCAGACATGCAGGCCTTCAAGGTGCGTGCGGTGCAGTGGGCCATGGATTGATATTGTACGAGCTCCCAGTGTCCTTACACGCATTCAGTAACTCATTGGCCCCTAAGCTAGAGACTGCTTTTTGCTGTGAAAAATAGGAGGGAGACAAAGGACTGTTTCGGACCAGAGCGAAAGTTTGCGCGAGGGACACCGAGTAGGAAAAGCTAAGTGCCTGAACAGAAGACTCTGAGCTGAGCCGCCACACCCATTCGGTTCTCCGTCCGTCCGTCCCTCCCTCCCTCCGTCCTTACAGGCAGCGAACCCTGGGTGCATCTTGGAGGATTTTGTACGATGGTACTCGCCGCCCGACTGGAGCATGCTGCCGCCTACGCCGCCCGACAGTGAGGCCGGCGGTGTGGGTGGCGGGGATGGAAGTGACAGGGAGGTTCGAGAAGGGGGAGGGGAGGAGAGAGATAAGGGAGACGGAGGGAAGGGAGGAACGGGAGCAGCAGCAGGAAGTGGAGTGGTGGAGGGGAGACGGAAGCATGGGTATCTGAGCGTGAGGATGACAACACAAGGTGCAGTCAGTGGTGATATGATTGATGCGATGGATTGGGATTGGATGGGACGGGCTGAGATGGGATGAATTGGGATGAGATGTCATGGGGTGGGAGGGACTCGTTGAGATTGAATTGGATGCAATGCAATCTGACGTGTGGATGTGATGTGTGTGGTATGCATGTGGCATCTGCATGGGCTATACATGCATGCATGCATACATACAATGTGCCATGGTGCATAAGGGCCTGCAGCATGAATGCGTGTGTATAAGCCATGGAGACATGATGGTCTCAGTGGTCTCATGCATGTGTGTGTGTGGCAGGTCCTGGGTGTGTGAGCCATGACACCATCGTCTTTGCATGCATCTCAAATGCACGCTCTGGACCGACACCCACCTTGTTGCTGCATGGATGCTCCGTGCTCTACGCTTCATGCTCCATGCTCCACTCTTTATGCAGCATACTGCATGAGCAAACTGCTCTTCCTGATGTGTGACACCTCACAAATCCCTAGTTTCACATGCTCCTTACCTTAGCAACACACTGTTGCTGTGTCATCAGCTCATCTCGTCTTTACCTTCCTTCATCTCTCCCTTTGTCACCACCACCACCGCCCCCCCTCCATCTCCTCTTCCTTCCTGGGTCCTGTCCCCCTTTCCCCACTCGATGCTGCCAGGCAATCTGTGGCAGGAGCTATGGAACGCAGCGCGGCCCATCCCTGCTATTCTGCAGCCACCACTCTTTGACGAGGAGCTCGCAGGGTACTCCTTCTTTCTGCCCTGCATGCGTGCATGCATGCGTGCACTTTGCCTGCTCCCACCCATGCACTGCTGCCTCCTGCACCCATGTGCCTCCTGCACACGTGTGCTGGTTCATGGAACTGAACACTTTTCACATGCCATGCCATGCCCCTCAGCAGGAGGGGTCCGCCAGTAGCTCCATGTTGCGACATGCTCCTTCAGTATCCCATTCGCAGGGCCTCACTCTCTGCGTCTGCCTGTGTTTCTCTATCCGCTTTGTGCTTGTGTGCCCGTTTTGTGCTTGTCGGGTGGCAGGGAGAGTACACTGGATGCACTGGAGAACATCGCCCCTTCGGATCTCTTTGAACAGCTTTTCATTGCTGCGGTATGCCCTGCTCATGCTCTTTCAAATGCTGAATGGAGTGATGAACGAACGAGTGAGGCCAACAGCACAGTGGATGGAAATCAAATGCAGCATAGCAAGAACCACCACGACGAGCACTTATTTCACCCCCTCGCCTGCATGCACATCCTCAACTCACCTTCCATCGCTTCTGCCCCTTCCCCACACTTCTCGGTTCTCCTGCCTGTCTGTGTGCCTCGCGGCCTGCCTGTCTGTCCCCTGCGTGCGTGCCATCAGCTCTCAGCAGGGTTCGGCCTGGCGCAAACGGCCCTAGCGGGGTCTAGACGAGAGGCGGTGTGTTTCAACGTGCAAGAGTGTGCGTCCTATGTGGCTGCCACATGCACGCGAGGCATGAGCTCTGCTAAGATCGATCGTCTCTGCCAGGTGTGTGTGTGTGTGTGTGTTTAGGGGAGGGGGTGAAGGGGGGGAGGGGGGGGGGGATGTGTGTGTGAAAAGGGGGGTTTTAGTGGGCGTGGAAGGGATTAGGGAGAGTAGGGCGAAAAGATGTGTCAGCAGTGGAATGGTCTCATATGCCTTTGATTTTGATGTGGTTATGCACTGGCTTCTCAGGTTCGTGTAGGCTCACCTCGGTATGTGCGGCTCTTTCATATTGAAGAACACTCGTCGCAGTTCCTCCCACTTCCTGTTGCATTCACCAACGTCCTTACTACTCACTTACAACTGAACTGCGTCCATGTGACTTGGTCTCTCCCCGACCCTGCCATGCACCATACCCTCCTGTGTTGTGTGCTGTGTGCTTTGCGCTCACTCTGCTCCCCATGTTCCCCTTGCACTAGGTATACGAGCACATGGAGACAGCTATCCTTTCGTACAACGATCCCTCCTCCCCCTCGCCTTCCCCTGGGTCCACCGCCTCATCGGACGTCACAACACCAGAAGCCCATCCGCACACGGCGGGAATGGCTGCCAGTGCAGGTGCAAGCAGTGGCGGCGATCCTGATGGGGACAGCTTTACCACGCCTCCCCGCCCCCTGTCTCTGCTCTTCTCCCAGTCCCCTGCAAAGACTGGGTCTGGGGGAGGCATGTTGAGTGGATGGTTCCCCTCGAGAAGTGGCCGCTTTGAAATGGGGCGAGAGGATGATGGTGCTGACTGACAGTATGGGCTGGAATAGTGAACTGTATGGGAGGCATATCAATATAGCCACGGAATTCCATTATTTTTATGGAAGAGCATGTATTCAGTGACTTGCCAGATTTCCATAAGCTTGTTTGACCAACTTGATTGTCCCATATTGCAAGTGGAAGTGTATCAATAAGCTTGTTTGTCCCATTCCATATCCAGAAAGAAATTGCTCCAAGAGGCTGGGGACAAATCTGAAATGAGGCAAGAGAATTGTGCAGGCGATGATTGTGTGGCAGGTCAGATTGGTACGCATTCCATATTCCTCCAGCAATTTTGAGGTTGGTGCGAAATGGTCCAAAGGGACGAAAATTGAAACTTGTTCCCGACCGTGCTGTAATCTAGCTTACCGTGCTATTCATAAGTGGGAATCGTGTTTGGAACCCTTGTACAGTCAGCTTTTGCAGCAGTCCCCATGCGGCGCGAACCTGAGAGCCCTCTTTCTCAGGTGCCTCAAGTTCAGGTCTGCTCGGAAATAGAACAGAACTAGCGTGTCTTGGGTTTTCACAACGGGGGTCGCCCCACAAGTTGGTCTAGGGGTGTATCTTCACGAGTCACCCAATGGCTAAGAAACAAAGTTTTCGGGATTCCATCGTTTTTGGGTCTAGCTCGGGTGCGTCTAACAGAAAGTTTGACGGAAATTACATAAGCGTTGTGAAGTAGCATTTGTGGCTATTGCGCAAGTGTCACACAAGCAAGCACATCGCATCAGATTGTATTCCGAAGTTGGGACACCATCGAAGTTCCCCCACCGCAAGCACTTTTTGGGGGTGGATGGTGTCCGTGTGGGGTGGGGCCCCAGTTTGGACATGTGACTAGATTAGGGGTGCGACCAGGTTCGTCAGAATCGCCTGACGGTTATTGGATCAGACTGGTTTCGTGCCCAATCAGAGCGCGAAATCAATAAACGGCCAAATATACTCGAACGACCTGGGAAAAACATTCAGCATGGGCTCATTGGTTGTTGTGGGCTGATTTTGCAAGGTTCGTGACGGTCACGATTGTAAGTTGAAGTCATTGGATTTGATCTCTAAACTCCCCGAACGTCCATGTCGCATTTTGACCTGCGAATCATTCGTACATCAGCTGACCGGCAATTTTCTTGGTGTCCAGACTTCGGACCGCGTGGGGAAACATTGAAATGTCACTTTGACATTTCAAGTCGCGTGGGGGAACTTTGGATGGTGTCCTGACTTTGGAATACAGCCTCACACACGCTGTGTTGAGTTTGTGCTACCGAGAAAACTAGGATGCCATTGGTCTCCCGTAAAATGCGGAAATGCCATTTTGTCATGGGCGGTCCTGGCACCTCGTTCAACCCACCTGTCATTCCCGTCAAAAACTAAGGGGACAACTTCATCTGCAATCTAATTAAGCCAGCGCGGTTCGCAAATGCGATCCCTAACAGTCCGCCTGGAAGAAGCTGATGAGTCGTAATCTGCCCGCGGTCAGAAAAAAATAAACCCCTAATGGGTGGCATGCGATTAGGGGAGCCCCAACCCTAAACACGGGGAGCCCCAAACCTAAACACGGGCAGCCGCGTCGTTCTGCCCGAAAAGATTGCATTTGCAAACCCGCACTGGGAAAATGAGATCGCAGTTCGAATTGTCAGAAAACGGATCCCCCACTTCCTGACCTGACCACCGTGCTCCGTCACCTGGCCCTTGGAATTGGCGGACCCATCATCAGAAATCAGCCCCGAGAATTTCGATTCCGCCACATGCCCAAAATCGTCAACCCGCCCCGAGGAACACCCACCACCCACTTCCCTCGATTCTCCCCCCTGCCAAGCCACAACACCGCATGAGGAGGAAAAAAGCTCCGCCGATATGGCTGGGTTCCTCGAATTCCCGCACTATGTGCACCATGCGCGCGCCATCACCAAGAAGTGCTGAAATTCTCATCATTGTGTAGCTGATGATTTATTGCCGCAGGTTGGTGCACATATAAGCGCATTTGTCGCTGGAGCAAAACCAGCCCCATTGCCGCCTCCTTCTCTGCAGCACCCCCTCATTATCACCTTACAAGCTAAGGGATCGCCGCAGAATTTTACAGAGTCAAGAAGTTCCGCGTTCCTGTCATCACTGGCTCCGCATTTCCGCGAATTCCTACCGAATTTGGACCGAGCGGTAGTCCACGCGCCTGACCTTATATGCTGCCATTGATGCGTGAGAAGCATCTGATATCTCGTACGAATCTCATCGCGCGCCTATGACAAAAAGATCGTGTGAAGGTCACTCCGCTGACGTGGAGTGCAGCCGTGTTGCACGCCGCTGACCGCGGCTAGCCACTGCGTGCTGCCACCGTTACCGAGACTTGACCGTTGGTAGCTCCGCACGAGAGGGCCCTGATAGTACACAGGGCACCGATTATCCGTTACTATTTATACCGCCCATGGCATGCCATACGTTTTCATTTTTAACAGCATCTGAGACGTAAGAATCCGCCTTCAGTAACCCACCTACAGCAAGAACCCCCGTTCTCCATAGTCTATCTGAGATCCGCATTCTCTATCACTTAACTAAGATCCGCACAGACAATGGACGTGTTCGAGATCGAGTCGGAGGCCTCTAAGGCGCGCGACGCCGCCGCCGCCGCGTCCGCTGCGTCAGCGGAAGCCGCCGCGGCTGTGGAGCGCGTGGAGGTGGTGGAGGCGGGGGACGCGACGCCGGCTGCCGGACTGCACGACCACTTCAAGCCGCTGAAGCAGCTTCCCGCGCAGCAGCGCCAACAGGAGCTGCGCAAGGACATCCACTTCGTGAGTGCGGGGCACTGGAGGCATGGGGAAGGGGAGGGGGGAAGTAGGGGGAGAGGGGTGCAGCGCCAACAGGAGCTGCACAAGGACATTCACTTCGTGAGTGCGGGCAAGGGGGCTGGGGGAGGAAGAGGGGGGAAAATGGGAATAAGTGGGGGCGGACGCGGAAGTTTGTTGTGGAAGAAGTAGGGGTCGCGGAAGATTTGCGGGATCATGTCGAGATTCAAGGTTAGGATGAGGGGGAACGGTCAGGAACTTGAAATGTTCAGAACCTGGTTAGAATGAAGTAGGGTGCTGGAAGGCGGACAGCCGGAGCGTTGTTAGTGGCGAGCACAAGGCGTTGTCGTCGTGCTGGGTAACCCACCCACTCGTAACCCGCCGGTATTTCTCGCTGTTGATTTCTTGGAGTCTCGCGGTGCGCCGTTTTATCAGCTTGTTGATTCCAATGCGAAGTCCGGATGGATCTGGCTTCGAATACCGCCGCGCAATGCCTCCGCCGATTGCTGAACTGAAAGAAAAGAAGCTGGCGGACACGCAGGGATCGGGAGATGGCGGATCAACGAGCAGATGTGAGCTTCGATAGTAGAACTCGACAGGAGGTCGCGGAGGCCGCGAGTAGCGGGAGTACGCGGGAAGGGGAAGGGTATCGCGCTCAGGGGGGATCGCTTGGAGTAGTTTTTAGAGAGCTGAGCGAAGGGCACACGCGGGCGGAGAGCGGGAGTGGCGGAGTGATTGTGTGGGGGACGCCATTGAATCATTCATCCCGTGAATGCGTGTGTGCGAGCGAGCGTGCGTTTGTTGGCGTTTGGGTGTGCGGACGCGGATGGGCACATATGTTTGATTTCATGCGCGCAACCCTCCCACACCCATCCCCACACGTGCGCGTGTGTGTTTTTGTGTGTGTGTGTGTGCATGTGGCGTACAGGTGGAGCACACATGGCCGGTGCATCAACTCTGCTTGCATTTCCGCACCAACGCCACCAAGGTACGCTCCTCCTCGCCTATCCATGCCATACCATGCCATGCAGTCCAAACGAAAAGCTTACATAAACCGGGAAAGCACGAAACAGAGCGCGCACAACGACCAGCCCTTCCCCCATACCACCACCACGTCCACGTTCACGAGTCACCCATCATCCGAACGCTTCCCTTGCGCGTTCCTTGCGCGTCCCTTGCGCGTTCCTTGCGCGTCCTTTGCGCGTCCCTTGCGCGTCCCTTGCGCGTCCCTTGCGCGTCCCTTGCGCGTTCCTTGCGCGTCCATTGCGCGTCCATTGCGCGGACGCTCCTGACATTTCCGCACTCATAGCGTTCCGCCTTCATTCACCCCATCAACGCTCAGCTCTCAGCAACCAATCCCCTTTTCTTGCTGCCCCACAACCCTCTTCACACCTTCCGCACCCCTGCTCCACTCCCTCCCTACCTCCCTCCCACTCTCTCCACCAACTCTCATCTCCCTCTCCCTTTCCTCCCCCCCTCGCCCTCCCGCGCGCCTCACCCGCGCTTCTACACCACGGCGCTTCCCCCCCTCCGCAGGGCCTAACGGACACGCAGGTGCAGCGGAACCGCACGCGGTACGGGGAGAACAAGCTGACGCCGGGGTACGTGACGCCGTGGTGGCTCAAGTACCTGCAGCAATACACCAACTTCTTCTCGCTGCTCCTCATCGCCGCCGCCGCGCTCTGCTTCATCGCCTACGTCATCGACGAGAATGACGTCAAGGAAAACGTACGTACGCGCTCGCGCTCGCGCTCTCGCGTCCGCGCGCGCGCGCGCGCGCGCTCTCGCTCACTGCCACCCGCCCGCCCGCACCCCTCCCACCCCTCCCTTCCCCCCCACCCCTCCCCAAAACATCCCTCTTTTGCTCTTCCTTCTGCTGCTGCTGCTCCTCCTCTTTCCGTTTTTCCGTCTCGTCGTTTCCTCCTCCCCCTCCTCATCGCTGTCTCCGTTCTCTCGTTCCTCCTCCTCTCCACCCGTGTTGAATCCGCTTCTCCCTTGAACCTCCTTCGCACGCACCTCCCAACCCCTCCTCCCCATTCCTCCCCTCCCCTTTCCCCTCCCCTTCCCCTCCTCTTCCTCCTCCCCATCCCATTCCCCCCCGGCAGCTATACCTGGGCATAGTTCTCCTGGTGGTGGTGGTGGTGACGGCGACGTTCACGTTCATGCAGGAGCACAAGAGCGCGCACATCATGGAGGGCTTCCGCGCGCTCATCCCCGCCAAC